CAGAGTATTTATGTCAAAGGTAGTCTTATGAGTTATAATTTTACACTTGACGATAACCACACTGCCAGTAGTAGAAATAGACTTGAATGGAACACAGGGGAGTCAATGTCCTACGTACTAAAATGTGTCGATGATATTCCAGACCTTTATTAGCTGAGATATGATGGCTACAGTGAGGCGTGTGATAGAAGATAAATCATGGGAAAGATAGGGGTAAAAAACGAAAAATCCTCTAATGATTATGCATCCGAACATAGGAAAGGTCATTTGGAATGATTCTCTGGAATACAAAGTCGAACAAGGATAGAGAAAGGGTTTTGAAAATATCAGACTATTCATCAGTGGCAATATGGAAGGATTCAAGTCGGGTGCATGAATATTCTTATTGTATGATCAAGCTTTATCGTCATAACGTAGACTATGACAGATATTTCGGATGCTCAACTATTGGATATTGATTAGGATGTGAGTATTGATAGGGGATTGGTCAGTGACAGTGGTCCTTTCAATTTTCGAATCAAGTTTAAACCTTCCTTCAGCGACTCATACCGAAAAAGCCGAATTACCATCAGCCTCAGACCAAAAACAGTGATTGAGGGGATGACCCAATGGCTAACATAAGAATCTGATTTGTCATTTCTAAATGCCCATGCGATGTATTCACAGATATTGACTGATTGAATGAACCTCATGCAGACAATTAGCAGCGATGTCCTGTTACCCTCTCATCATAGGACGCTCTATGAGTACTACTCGTATGTAATCATTTTAATTGACACTCTGCCTCGAAAACGAACGCCAAATTGAGAATCAAGAAGATAGACAATCTATTGATCAAAGTAAATTTCAAAGAAAAGCAGCAAATTAAGGTGGAGGAAAGATGCAAAAGACGTCGCTCTGTGAGAAACTGATATCGGCTGTGTGGAATGTATGAATGAGAGCATATCAGCGAACTCTTTCTTTTGAGATAAGAAAGAGAGTTACTTCAGAGCTGATTTTTATGACAAAAGAGATATGTGAAAACGAACTTTCAGTAGCCTCTGACGATTTGTCGCGGTGGAATAATGCTGGGTTAGATCATCGGGGAGGCATAGGAAAAGATTAAGTGAAGATAGTGAAACTGGGGTGGATGCAACGATGAAGTCGAAAAGATGGAGGAGTACTAGAAGATGGCTTTGTTATGTGGTTCGGTATTAAGTATAAGAGGAAAACAACTGGAATGTGTGTTCGAGAATTTGATTAGAGAATTGGGTGATGAGGACATCAAAGTAAAGCTCCTCAGAAATGACCATAGTAAGACATGAAGATTGTATTATATTCCCAATTTCTACTCCGACGCCTTGGCAATGCTTTGTTTCCCAGAACTCCATCCCGAATGATACCTTTGGTTAAAATCTGCAAATTGTTAGTGAAGCTGAAGCCTTCATATATCATTAGATTTCAAACTTACCGTATCTCATAAGACCCTGCTCTGGTCATATATCTCACCCATTTTACACTTGAGTAATTATTCTTCTCAAAGACCTTCAGATATCTAACCAACAGTCCCGAACTTGTAAACATCAACAAGCTAAAGTTCAAACTCAATGGTGGTCTTGACCATGCCTTTTGGTTCGTCATGCTTGTTAACGTAGCTTCCGCGCTCAAGACAAATTCATTTTGGCCAGTAAATCTTGGTATCTTCCATATAATAACATTCTCTTCCGGTACATATTTTGCTTTTCCTTGTGTACATCGATCGGTGATTCGAGCGGTATTTAGAGGCGTAGGTATCTTAACAACGACATTGGTAGCGAATAGCTTGCTACCATAATTTGCTCGAATTGCAATACTGTATTCGACCTTTGTTTTACCAACTTCATTCACGATGGCATGAATTTTAAATGGCAGATTGACATTTTCGGTGGCACGATAGCGCATAAGTTCGAATTCTCCATCGGGAGGTATGAATGAAATAATTCTGTCGGTATCGAATTTCCCTAGCTTAACACATTGGTGAAATTGACAATCCTCCAATGTAACACTACCAGCTGCTGCTTTGGTGGCCTTGGTACCCATACGATTTCCAGATGGTAGAGATGAAAGACTATCGCCATCTAACAGTAATCGATCATTGAGTCCGAATTTGCATTCTGGTGTTCCGGAAAGGTATGCTCTCATGACGATTTGACCATTTACATCAGCTCGTAGAACAGTTCCAGTAGCAGACATTAAAAGATTGACATCTTCAATAACATCTACAAATGCTTCATTCTTTCTGTATTTGACATCGGCCTTCCTCCATGATAAAGCTCCGGTTGCTTGCATTGTAATCTTCGCCGAGTCTTCCATGGTTCGTTCCGATTTAACACCTTCCGTTGTGATGTACATCTTTAATGTATCTGTCTCTGTATTTTGAGGGTATCCAAAATCCAAGATTTCTATGTCGCGAATCTATCAGCTTCCGGCACAATTGATGCCTGCGAATCGCGCATTGCACTCACCATCTAAAAGTTCGTATACCAGGACGAAATTGTTCTTAACCGCTTCTTCGTCAAACTTTCCAAAGTAGCCTTTCCCCAGCGCAATCAATCTATAGAGGAATTCGAAGACCAGCGCAGCATTGGCATTGCTCTTGGTAATTGCAACCAAATATATGTTCTCGTGCTTGACATGACTGAAGGTTGTACTTCCTAAAGTAAGGATTGGTGAACGAACTTGTGCATTGGAGATGACCTGAATTCGGAAGACATCTGCGAGTCGTGGTCGACAATCATTTCGAAATGCGCGAAAGATTAGATTCTCTCCCTTTTGATTGAAGATCAATATGCCAGACAGCATTTTGATTTATATGTGGTTGAAGGAGGATTTGTTTATTGAAATGTCGAGAGAGGATAAGGTGTGGGGAGCCGAGAGCTACGAGGTGCAGTAGATCTAGAGAACAAGCTCAATACAGTATAATATTTACCGAACATCCCTTTCACTAGTGTTCAGGGGTTAAAATGAAATCTTTCAACAATGTAGGTGTGTCGTTGAATTATTATTAGATGATTATGTAGATGATGAGCTCAAAGGTCTTCAAATGTTTCTGCACAAAATTCAATTAGAATTTTGGCTGCTTTGTTCATATGAATACTGGAAAGAGTATGTATTTTAGGTAGCCCGTTTGTTTCTTCCAAATGGAGACAGAGTAATAGACGTATGTCATCTTCAGGTAGCCTTGTTGACGAGGTCGAATAGAGTTAGCAATATTCGGTAGCTTTCGCTATCTACATGCAGTATATGTCATCACTCGTCATTTATCATTCATCACTTAAAAACATTGCCTAGATTATCTCTCCATCACAAGTCTATAAAAGTCTATACTGGCACACATAGGGTAATTGCTAGCTGTACAGGAATGAGGTATTGAAGAAAACCATTAAAACCAAATGCACATCATCATCGCCCCTTTATCTAATCACAAAATAACATCCTTAAATCATGTCAAGTCTCATGAACTCAGCATGTAATGTCTTTCCGAGCAATGCTGGACTTCTCTCAACAATAACACCTGCAGCTTCAAGAGCTGAGATCTTGGAATCGGCACCACCCTTTCCACCACTGACAATAGCACCTGAGATGAGTTAGTTAAGTGTCATTAGTGGGTATCATTTTTAAGATACTTACCAGCGTGTCCCATTCTTCGTCCAGGAGGAGCAGAGATACCAGCGATAAAGCTGACAACTGGCTTCTTAGCAGTGTTGTAATCCTTCAAGAATTCGGCAGCATCTTCTTCTGCGGATCCTCCAATTTCTCCAATCATGATAATACCATCGGTCTCCTCATCCTCAAGGAATACCTTCAAGCAATCAATGAAGTTGGTTCCAGAGAATGGATCACCACCAATACCAACAACAAGAGATTGACCCAATCCAGCTTGTGTAGTTTGGTTGACAGCCTCATAAGTTAAAGTTCCCGAACGAGAAACGATACCAATACGTCCACGCTTGTGAATGAACCCTGGCATAATACCAATCTTACATTGTCCTGGTGCAATGAGACCTGGGCAATTGGGTCCAACCAAACGTGTCTTTCCTTGAGTCTTCAAGATATCTGTAATGCGAACCATGTCTATATTGAGGTTAGATTTATCCTCTTAAACTCCAAATATAAACATACCATGTTGTGGGATACCCTCAGTGATACTAAATCATCAATTAGTACAAGTACGATCACATGCAAATTTTATGTATATTCTTACCACACAACCAAAGGAATTTCAGCAGCGATAGCCTCCTCAATACCGGCAGCAGCAAGAGGGGGTCTGCAAAGTATATTATATCAGCACCAAATCCATCCTTCCATCACAGATTCTTTGCGATTGCGGTAGATCTTACGGGACGAAGATAGCAGAAGCTGTAGCACCGGCTTCCTTTACAGCTTGTTCGACGGTTGCGAAAACGGGTAAATCGAGATGAGTTTGTCCAGCTTTCTTTGGGTTTGTGCCTCCAACAACAGTTGTACCTATTTCCATATCAGAACCTTTTCAATTCCCCCATTATTCGTCTTAAGACATACCATATTCGATGGCTTGTTGGGCATGGAAACTGTGGCAGATTTGTCAACTTATTCCCTCAATACCAAATAGAATCTCGCAATAATACTTACGTTCCTTGTTTACCAGTGAAACCTTGGTAGATAACTCTAGTATCCTTAGTGATACGAAGGTTTTCCGCGGTAGCAGCATAAGCAGAGGTCGAAGTGGAATAACCTTGTCTTCTCATAGCAGCCTGCATCACAGGTCTGGCACATCTTGAAAAAGCCTGCATCTTGTCTGAGGGACAATTGATGTCAGATATGAAAGACAGGAAAGTGATTTGAAGTTTATCTTGAATTATTTCCTTCTTTTCTTCTTACCAGCTTCTTCTGTTGCGGACGGAATCGCTTGCAAGGCCTCCGATTTTGCCGGATTAATTGGTTATTCCGGTAGTTTGGCTTGGAATGGAAATTTATTTCACACAAGAACATTAATTTTAGTAACCCCGCGATTTCATCAAAGCATCAACTGCATCAACTCTTCATAACTTCATAACTTCACGACTTACCACGAGAAGAGTTTTGATTTTGAAATACCAAAGGTTGCGCAAAGCCTCAAGAGAAAGGCGACCAAAACTCATCCCAACGTGCAATCGTATTGAACCAACTGCATCTCCACACAATCCAAAATGGCCACTACCGTCGATAGAATGACATTGACGGATAGGCAAAGAAAACCAAAGGATCCTAATTTACCTCCAGAGAATGAAAGATACTTGAGAGCATGTTCAGATATTGCTAGCGCATTAGTACAGGATCATGAATCTCAACAGGATCCAAATACGCCGAGGAAGGATATCAATTTGAATAGTTTGAGGGCCAAAATGTCAAAACGTCACAGGCTCAGTAATATTCCACCATTGACTGCTATTATTGCCGCCATTCCAGAACATTATAAGAAATATATTCTTCCAAAGTTAATTGCAAAGCCAATCAGTATGTATTTTCCATTACATAGACATATGCGGGGCTAATAGTTTGTTAGGGAGTGCTTCTGGTATTGCGGTTGTCGCAGTCATGTGTAAACCACATCGATGTCCTCACATTGCCTACACAGGAAACATCTGTGTCTATTGTCCCGGTGGACCTGATTCCGATTTCGAATATTCTACACAATCATATACTGGTTATGAACCTACATCAATGAGAGCGATTCGAGCACGATATGATCCTTTTGAACAAGCGCGAGGAAGAGTAGATCAAATTAAATCTCTCGGCCACAGCGTCGACAAGGTTGAATATATTATTATGGGTGGTACTTTCATGTCACTATCTGAAAGTTACAGAGATGGGTTTATCTCCCAGTTACACAATGCGCTTAGTGGATATCAAGGAAATAATGTAGACGAAGCAGTTCAAGCTGGTGAGATGAGCAACATCAAATGTGTTGGTATCACAATTGAAACTCGACCGGATTATTGCTTACAACCACATTTATCTGCTATGCTAAGATATGGTTGCACGCGTTTGGAGATTGGTGTACAATCTCTGTACGAGGACGTTGCTCGAGATACCAACAGAGGTCACACAGTGGCTTCAGTTGCAGAAACATTTTGCTTGGCGAAGGACGCTGGCTTCAAAGTTGTTAGCCATATGATGCCAGATTTACCCAATGTTGGAATGGAGAGAGATTTAGATCAATTCAGGGAATATTTCGAGAACCCCGCCTTTAGAACCGATGGTCTCAAAATTTACCCAACATTGGTCATTCGTGGAACTGGTTTATACGAACTCTGGAGAACTGGCAGATACAAGAACTACACACCAAATGCCCTTATCGATATAGTCGCTCGCATCCTCGCTCTTGTACCACCGTGGACTCGTATTTATCGTGTTCAAAGAGATATTCCAATGCCGTTAGTCACATCTGGTGTTGAGAATGGAAACCTTCGAGAGCTTGCGTTGAGTAGAATGAAGGATTTTGGTACTACTTGCCGTGATGTTCGAACTCGTGAAGTTGGTATCAATGAGGTTAAGAATAAGATTCGACCTTCTCAGGTTGAACTTGTTCGAAGAGACTATACCGCAAACAAAGGATGGGAGACATTCTTAGCATATGAAGATCCAAAGCAAGATATTCTTATTGGATTACTTCGTTTGAGAAAGTGTTCTAAAACACACACCTTTAGGCCCGAGCTTACTGGACAGCCTACGAGTATAATTCGTGAGCTTCACGTTTATGGCTCAGCTGTCCCAGTTCATGCTCGTGATCCAAGAAAGTTTCAACATCAAGGTTATGGTACATTACTCATGGAAGAAGCTGAAAGAATTGCCCGAAATGAGCATGGAAGTACAAAGATAAGTGTCATCAGTGGTGTTGGTACAAGAGATTATTATCGAAGATTAGGCTATTGGTTGGATGGTCCTTACATGAGTAAGATGCTCCCACCAAAGGATGACGAGGATAGTGATGACGACTTTTGATTTCAAAATATCCAAATTCTCGGTCTAGTCGCCGCACCTGACTCTATAATCTGTCATCACAATGCTTACCTGGCAATGCAATTATCACGTCCAGCTATCATATTGGCGCAGTAATCTCACTGTCGTCTTATGTTCTCAATATATTTGGGTATTAATACTTCGATTCTGAGACTTTTACGTGTGGTAGGACTTTTGTTCCGCTTCTTAGCAAAGAATTCAAGGTTGAAGTGATAAAACCCTCAAGTCGAGAGTCTCTCACAGCGACAATATCACCAGAAGAAGCAGTTGATACCCCAGAAAGTAGCTGCAAATCTCCCGTGCGCTAGCAGATGCTCTTGTCACAAAATTGCCCTCACTTCACGGCTTCGATACTTCGAAGGAATGTTTTGCATGTTCGGGATGGCTGGTAGCCATTCTGATTATCGCCGGGTGTTTGATTTGAGTTACTTGAATCAATTTAGCGTGTCCGTATCGCATTTCCTGAAATATCTGGGCATGCGATATGGAGGCGGGGTAGGTTGTGAATCATAGAAGAACCTGATCTAGATGTCACACTTTAGAGTTTAATTGAATGACCAATACTTTGTTTCTATGATGTTTTAGCTCACATGCAATGTACCAAAATCAGAGTAGCGTTTATCGTGGTGTATACTAATACTTGAGGATGTCTACAATAAATTGAACTAACTACAAAGCCTATCATTCGCGCATTGATATGGTACAATTATCGTTCTGGTCTTCTACTGACGTGTCTATTTTAAGGTTGATATACGCATGCGGGAAGTAACTGTGACTGCATGATGACATGTATAGTACCTGCAGTAAGCACTTTGAAATCATGCATGACTACTCTGAATGACAATCGCATTCCTTTCTTTTTTGGGAATTTATCTATCCATGTTCCTAGAGTTCAACATCAAGTGGTGCGCTAGTTCTCCAAGCCCCATAATTTGTCTGAGAAAACACTCCTTCATTACCCAGAAGGTGAGACTTTGACTTCAAAGACGACGAGTCTTTTCCAATAAGATTCATTAAAACTTGATGTTCATCGCATTCTTTCCCTTATTTGTTTATCATCTTATGTTGCTAGCCTGAATCTGGGCATCAACTGCTTCCATTATACCATGCACATTCTTGACAAAATCAGCCCTACGTGTTCTTTTTGACATCATCTCAATTGAAACATTCATATCATCCATTCATAGCGTTTCTCACATCAAAAATTGATGACAGGCTATTGGTCTTTGCAGTATCTACAATTGAAAAGATTCATGTCGTGGTGGCTATGCGAACGGGAACTAGAATATCCGATCATTGAGGTCAGCTGGGTCGCCTAATTTGCACATGTTCACCAATCAATCCCCTCTGGTTTGGCATATACCGTCTTTTTAAGAGCGCTTACAGCCGCGCGTGGGTTCTATTTCTGGCTTCCTACTTTTTCTGCGCCACCAACATACTTCTTGACTATTGGTTCAACAAACAGATCTCACTCACATGTAAGCACGTTCTTTGGTGTTTGGATTGCTTTGAAGAGAAAGTGAATTTAGGTCATGTTGACTGCGGCCGAATCTTAAATTGTATTCCGAAGGCAACTCAAAAGGTATAGTACAAATCTGGTGATTAACGAATAAGCATGAGGCGGTGTTCTAATAGACCTGGAGATGGTCTGGCTATATGAGAGACCGTTTGGCACGTTTGTGTTTTGACTTTTTCCATCAATAACCTCATTAACAATTACATCACCATACCTTTTACGAATCTCCTTACGTCTACAAGTTTTCTTTCTTCTTTGTCTCATAGAAACTCTTTATTTCTTCTTATTTCAACTTCAAAGGCCATAATTCATAATGCATACTTCAAATATTGCCTTTGGAATTTCATTCCTCTCGACCCTTGTTGCCGCAGCTCCTTTCTCGGTCGATAATAGCTTCCTTGAAGCTGTAACAGCAACCAATACAGGGCCATTACTAGCAATTCAAACCGCAGCCATGGGTTCTCTCTCCAACATCCCTCCTCCTTCTGCATTGGTTGGTGGAGACGACAGTCTCACCAATTTCAAGCTCGTCGCCTTCAACGAGAACATGGAAGTCGCATTCTTCGAGGAACTTACCTTTAATATCACAAATAATGTTCCAGGTTATACATTCGACAGTCAAGACAGTAGGGACACGGTGCTTACGAAACATCAAACGCAATCGTTGCGCAAGAAAAACTGCATTCACTAAATGCTGAGAAAGACATCGTTAGTTTCACCAATGATACCAATGCTATCATTCAACCGTGTCAATACAATTTCGATGTCACAAACTTTGAGCAAGCCATAGCTACAGCATCTCTCTTCACAGATGTAACCATGGGTACTTTGGGAGATATCCAAACCGTATTCGGCACAAACGGCGATTCCAAATTCATCCGTGGTGTTGCAGCATCCCTCGGACAAGAAGGAGAACAAAATGGATATTTCCGACAAATCCTTCACAAAATTCCATCCGCTCTTCCGTTCCTGACAGCTAGCACTAGAGATTTCGCATTCAGTGCTTTGAACCAAAATTTCGTTGTTGAAGGTACCTGTCCAAACAGCGATACCATCCCTCTCAAGACCTTCCAGAAACTCACTGCTTTTCAACCCGATACCATCGATTTTGACACCATCGTCACATTCTCATTCCAGCTCACCGCAGATCAAGACTACAACACCACCTGGGGAGAAAAATGCAAGGGGCTCTCGCTCGTCTATATCAATCAGCAAAATAAACCTGTTGTTCAACCATTCGAAAGTATCAGTTTACAAGCAGATGGGAAAACTGTTGTTTTTACTGCTAAATTTGAATTCGATGCCGGTGCTGCTAATGGTGCTACGGGTAATGGCTTGACTTTGGCGGTTTTGGCGAAGGGGTCGGATTTTGCTAATGCGTTGGAGGTATCTAATAATGCGGTTTATGGACCGGCACCCATTGAGGTTAATTGATTGGATTGGGTTAGAAGTTGATGGGAATGAGGGGACTGGGTATTGGGAAGGTGTGGCATAGCATAGCATAGCGTGGCGTTTTTTGAACTTTTCTTCTGGGCTTAGGATTTACTTTGTGAAGATTTCTTTGCATTGGACGGTGTTGGCTTCGTTCTTTTCATGCCTTTTTATGGAAACCTGTCTTTACTTCCCGCATGATTTTCCTGGCTCTTGATGTATGATTTACGATTTCACGACTTCCGTTCAATATGAAGATGCTTTTTTAGATATTAGATGGAGTAATGTTTATTCATCTACATATCTTAATATACTCGTGCTTCTACTAATATCAACCTCCTACTTTACTCTTCGTGTGAATCTGAAATAGAACGATTGCTTTGACTGAGTATGCCTTCTCAAATAGACTAAGTTTTTATTAGCATATAAATATATCGTATTCCCCTATCCTCAACATCAACAAACTCAACTTTTCTAGACGCAGTATACCCTCCATATATACATTCAACAACCTTCAACAACACAAAATACAGTACGTTACCACCCCATCAAATCCCTCCCCCAAACACTCAACGCTCAACACCCACTTCCCAAGGGCCATCCACAATCCCCAACCCTAAGCTTCTCCCTCCCCTTCCATCCCTATTCCCTCTTACTCCCACCTCAATCCTCATCCCCACACCCTCTAGACCACCCCCGGAGCCCATCATCCATCCATATAAAGATCTCCCAATCATCTCCATCCCATCGCCAAGAAATTCAATATCCAATATCTATCATCTACTCCCCTACCCCTCTCGATGCCAAATATCAGACAAGCAAAACCTACCTCAACCTCTCTACCTATTACACCCCATCCATATCCCATCCAATTTCACCCCCCAAAAACCATACCCCCATCCCTCCATTTCCACATCCATTAATTTCTCGTACATCACGAGATGAGCGGTTACCGTGTATACCCGTGTACAGATGTACATATATCCTAACAATCAGTCATCATAAAAACATTAGAATCCCTTCCCCTAGTGCATAGTACAAGTAGGTTATAACTAAACAACCATCCCAAATCCCCCAAAATCTCAAACCTCTAAGGTTACAGCAACCCCATTCATCCATATTCATCCATCCATAATACTCACTCAACACCAAGTAACTACCTAACAGCAACATCCCAAAACCTCCAAACCACCCCACGTGATCGTCCAGGAAAAAAAAAAGCCTATAACGTGAAACTCACGTTCTCGCTTCCAATCCCAACTGAATAAATCCGAAGTGCGTGCTGGGTGAGAGTCCGTCCGTCCTCAACCCTTATCGATAGATAACCAACCAAAAAATAACGGATCCCTTCAACAACCACACCACCCCCCCGAAACACCAAGTGAAAATTTTTCACCCGAGATATCCCGAAAGAAAAAAGGTAAACAGATCAACACATACATAGGTACATACATACATACATACGTACCTACTGGCGGTTGGGAAATCCCCCAGCCGCGGCCCCAGATACTCCAAGACCCGAGTCTAAGTTCTAGATTAATAAATCGCAACATGCATAGCACAGGCAAAAGAGGAATAGGTATAACATTCTTCATTGATAGTTTACAGGAACTACCCTTGAGAAAGGCCATTCGTCATCTGTCTGTATGTTCGTCTAATCTAGAAATTCTATGCTCTAATATAATGAGGAGAGAGGAAATCCGTCTATAAGAAGCATCGATTTTTCTATATCATCGATCCAAACCATCTATATGCAACTGCATGCAATGCCCGTGATGTAACAATGCACCGTTGATCTATACCACCACCTTCATTCCCCATCTCCATCCACCATATTTATACACACCCCTTCCCCATTTCATCAAGACATGACGACATATTTACAAGAACTTGGCCATCATAGCAACCATGAGATCGAAAAGACCGATGGCCTCGACGAAAGCGAAACCCAAAATGGCGTAAGAGAAGAGTTGACCACGCATGCTTGGGTTACGGGCAACGGCTTGCAAGAGAGCAGCGAAGACGAGACCGATACCAACACCGGCACCAGCAAGACCGATAGCTGCACCTCCCATACCGAGGTTTTGGGAAGCTTGAACGAGAGCGTTGGCCATTTCAGAGGAGTATGGGCGGGCGGAGATTTGGGTGGTCTTGGAGAGGATTTGGCTGGTTTTGTTTGACGCTTGACGGCTTGGAAAGCAGTCTTGGAGGACTTGCTCATGGCTGTGTGGGGAAGAAAAATTTGTTAGCGAGGTGTTCTTTATCCATTGAATTTTGACGATAGGTATGTGATGAAGACGATGATAGATGTATCGAATCGTAATACAATTGAAGCTATATCGATAGCTATTGAAGCTTGACGAAACCTCAATTGATAATTGACAACATGAAGGCATTAAAAGCTTAAAGCTTACCAGTGAAGGTACGTTGAGCACCAAGGTTGGATCGAACCATTGGGCGGGCAACCTTTGCGGAGGCAGATCCCATGAGGGAAGCCATCTTAGGAGCAACACGAGCGGCCATTGTATTGATGTGTATGAAGTAACTCAAAAATGAGGTTTTTGGAGATAGGTGTATGAGTGGAGATGGAAGACTTCGAGTGTTGACAAGCAAAAGAAGTTTTGTGACTTGGTGTGAGAGTGGGAAAGAATGGGAAGGGCGGAAGGAGAATCAAGAAAAAATGAGCTAAGGACACCTTTTCTGATCTAGCTCCGTTCGAAAGTCGGTGTCAACTAATTGTTCCTGAATATTCAGGAAATTCGCAATCATAAAGAGTGAATATGGATCGTGCCGTCACTAATCTTCAAAATTTTAATAGTAATATGTGGGTCAGGCCGCTTGATTTATGATATCCTCCTATCAGAATTGGTGTAACATCACCATGACTGAAATGCAAGGCTGAGAGATTTATCTCGTCCGATATCAACAACGGCGCTACGTGGTAAAAGGGTATAAAAAGAAAGAAAGTGGATTCCGAGCAAGATATCTTCAAGAGAAAATACCGGAATGGTGGGGATATTACAAAAAACAACCATTCTCGGATTGAAATTGGATATTTAATTTCCACTTGGGTAGAGGGGCCCGGATAGAGAGTGCATCGTAGACTTTAAACTTTCGCAACTAATCGAGCTGATCTTATCAAACCGTTGAATGATCAATCTCACATAAGAGTTTTATACTTACTTACACGACAAGTCTAACAAGAAAAAGTAAGAACATTTTATGAAGAAAACAATTAAACTCAATTCACTTGAATCGGTTCTTGCTAATTCCTGTACTGCCTAACCACCCGATGTTATTCTTTGCCTCTCTCTCTCTCGGGATTCCTGGGCATTGGGTGTGTGTCGTCAATACTTTTTTGACTGACGTTGAGTTTTCATCCCTGCTCACAAAACTTGTCACACAGTAGAATCTTACCCGAGACTTTTTACGCCAGCTATCATGCGCCATAAGTTCATCACCAAAAAATGCCACGAGTCATTTTGCACAATTGAAATCCCACTTTTTATAAGAGCAGATAAATCACAAGAAAGGTCGAATTAGGAAATCGATCTTGATGATGGATCATGAATTGACCAGTAGAAAGCGTCCTTCCAGCCCATGATTTTCGATTTGTTTGGATGGAATTGTTGCGTTGGTTGTTGTCTTGGCCCCTGAATCCCGTCGGAAGATTTCGGATTTTTTTCTGGAGGCAGTAAGACAGTTTGGTAAGATTTATATGTGAATTTGATGTGGCTTTCCATTTCTCTGTAATTTCATATTAGCCATGTCAGAATATAGCATTCCTTTGACTACCTATATACTACGATATAGATTAGGGATTCTTAAGCTGGAACAGTAATGAACTTTGAGATTCGGAACAATTCTGCCCACTTTCAATCATTTCATCAATAAGAAAAGTGTAAAATTTCAGCAGTGGGGGAGGCTTCTTCGTGGGGGTAAACCCAATTTTTAAGATCCTGAATGGATCTAGCTGCTAGCAGGGTAGTTGAAGAGTCTGATAAGGCTTGTACCACTAGAATATTAAGCAAGTGTCCGCCACTGAGAGGGCACTACTTATTGAAACCAGGACCCAGAAGAAATCGTTTCCCGTGCTTATTTTCGGAAAATGAAGAAAAGGCATACTGCATAACGATTTCTTCACGTGTATACAAGTACATGCCCACTCGATTAGATATCGCCGTCAAGACCGGTTCTTGCTCTGTATTTGTGAATCACGAAACATAAACGAAGATCGATTGAGTGATTCGATAGGGAGGATGTGGATTATTTGACTGGACTATCGAACTGGTGTGATTGCTAGAAAATTGTCTGCCGAGCGCTGCGGGCAAGGCCTGGGATCGATATATTTTATAGGGTCTTTCGCTTTCATAGGGATAGATTCCGGGTTCCGTTTCTGCCGATCGACATTCCATCATCAATAACGAGGACAACCTGCGGTCCCTTCAAGAACATACATTGTCGCATATATTAGCTTTCGAAAACAAAACAAGAGAGAGGAAGAAGATGATGCTTTGACTTACAGGTTCCTGAACGACAACATCTATTCAAAATTCATCACGACGATGAGTTTCTTTAATGGTAGGTGCCCGTGAAGGTCTATCGTACTTCGATCGGAGTTCGTATTCATACTCGAGGTTCATTCTTAACATTGAAATGAAATGAATTGTATGGGCAAAGATTCCATGGCATAGTATACCATTTTTCGGGATAGATTTCAGTTGCATGTACTTGCAATACTTACCTAGATATGAAATCAAACGACCCGGCCAACTCTTCGACTTCGACTACTGCGGTGGAAGTTTCAATGGGGGTGGATGTGACGCAAGTGTTTCGAGATGTTGAAATATTCTTTCAAGAGGCGATTCCGAATATAGATTCTCACAAACCGCTCGACGTTTTCATGATGGATGGAGGGAAATGAGAAGTTGAGGTTTGAAATTGATGTTTCTCTTCTCATTCCCCCCTTGCCTTACCCCATGCATGTTACATCGCATATGAGACGACTTTCGTGCGGGGTAATCCATTTCGAGTAACCACATCACGTGGGACGACGTGGCCTGGGTAAAGTCGTAGTTCCCCCTTCCTCCTTCCCCCTAGGAGTTACGGAGACCACAAATTCAATCTTGGCGGCAATGCTTTGCTATCGCAGTTTCTGTCTTTGATATCTATCAAGATTCATGGAAATCCGACAAAAATGATAGAGTTAGACCCCCTCTCGAAGAATTGAAGTGTGGTTATGCCGATAGGAGAGACTGAATCTCCAAAGACTCGATCAAGTAAGCACAAACTTTTGCGCACCGGGAAATGTGAGTTTGACGTTTAAATGCGGAGAGGGTATGTCAAGTATCCCATCATTTGTTTCATTGCACGGATTTCCTTTGGTTCATGAAAGTTTTCAACGTCGAGAATCACTTCTCGACCACTTTCGTATTGCTTGGCGTAAGACTTGGTCTTGACCATTGATTTATCACGGTGCTTGAATCCTCCTGTCTAATTTGAAGTGGAATCTGGGGCCGCGATGGGTATTGTGGAGTTTCTGCAGGCGATGCATATTCCACTGCGGGCTGACAACGAATCAAGTCGGATTAATCAAAGTCAAAATCCCGAAAGGTTTCGAGCCTCAAGAAGCAGCACGAACGAATGCACAATGCAGAAGAGAGAAACAACCTGTGAGGTAGCGGGGTGGACCATAAAGTCCTCAAACAATGCGCTATCCTTGGATTCACACCATTTGCGTCCTTATTTCATCAAGCCCCGTAACGTCCTCCAATACCGGTACTCCGCCAAACCTTTGAATGAATCGCACCTACAGGATACGATTCGCAAACTGTGGTTTGAGTGATTGGGTTGGGGATCCAATATATGATTGCTGTACCTTCATCATCGAAGTTGAGAATGTTGATTCTGGGCAGTCTGGAACCACACAAGCGACCTATGCAATTTTCAACTTCTCACGTTCCCCCGGATGATCAAAATGAAAGCTGAGAAAACATCGATTTTACCCGCCGTTAGTCGCTCCGCTTCGCGTTTCGTTTCTCATGACATCCATCGCCGCCATATTCGATTCGGCACAGCCACAAATATTCACTTCCTCCTCATCAAACAAAAAAGAATACAATATAGTTTCTGATACAACCGCTCCTTGAAAACACTACCAAGTTCAAGTTCATGGTCTAGTGGTCAAATACGTGCTTCGCGAAATTCATGAGAATGATTTCGTTAACAAATTCTCTAGTTCAATCCCTGGAGGTCGACCACTAAGACGCGTACAATGCTCTCAAGAACCATGGGTCATTAGGGGAGAAAAAGGATAGGTATACTTGTAGACCGTAAACCTTCCCCCAATTACTAACCCTTTAAAAGCTATAGGTAGGACGACTTGTGTAGCGGTGATCCCCACTGTGGTGCAGTAAGCTGGCGCAGGCCTGCTACGGGTTGATCCTCGTGAATAGTGGTCAATTTGGGATATGTGGTGGAAAAGTGAGTATATCCGCCCCTAGTCCTTAACACTGACCATGGACCTGAACTTGACATCTTTTTTTGCTTTTTTTGCCTTTTTTTCTCTCCTTTTTTCTTGCTTCCAGGCGCATATATGCATACATACATATATATACACATCATCCCAGCCTCTGCTCGAAGTATCGCAGGATATCTTTCTCGATATCCCGCTCTATATCTGAGAGTATGATTCGCTGCCCGCATTCAATTGTTAAAGTGGATACCTCCATCTCAAATATGAAATTCACTCAATAACTTGTCTTCATTTTCAAACATTTTGTACGTGCTCGCAAGTGATGAGTCCGTTTTGTTGACATCATAAAATACCTTCTACAGCAGCGAAATTTCGATTAATCTCGACTTTTCAAACAACAATTCTCCGCAGTCTCTCAGGTTTGAGCGCACGGAATTTCACGAAATTTGTGGACTCTTCCGATATGCTGTCATAATTTGCTGAAACATTTATGCTCATGTCACCTACTATCGTCTGATCTTGACCTCCAATTCATCTCAAGCCTGCCTCAACATACAAGTTTGCGATTCTGTTTCGCAGATGAAAATTGGTTATTCGTTTCATCTTGAATCTGAATCTTCCGATAACCTGGTATTTTCTACATTCATTTGAAGTCATCAGTCTTCTTCTTTTCTGTGTAACTTATAACCTCTGCATTTATACAAGTAATGAGCAAGCATAATCAACAATAATCGTTAGGTATTGAACATCCCATATTTTATACAAGAATTCATACTTCTATAAATAGTTTCAAACTCTACATCTAGTTAGATGGAAATCATAAATCAGGGTCGGATGTTTAGATTAGCGAGAGAGGGTCAAACATCACTGAGGGGCTATATAATTTTGAAGGCATAAGCTTTAATATATCGGATGCATCTACCACATACTTCAATGCTCAGTGACATTCCAATTCATTTAATTGATTGTTCTGGGTTGTTCTATTTTCTGGTCATCAAAATGACGATCTGTTCCTCTGTTCGTAGTGTAATGTACATTTTTAAAAAGA